ATATATTAGGGGTGCACCAATTGCAGTTTTCTGACGATCATCGATTTATAAAAAGTCTGACCTGCTGATTACGATTTTGGCCGATAAAGAAAATAAATTAAGCAAAACGGTGTTCTACAACTGTGTTGTCATTTTAAAGACCAAATTGGAGGGTTCACCATGACGAAATGGCTCAAATGGCTTTCTTGCATTGTAATGTCCAGCCTGGGTTTAAACTCCAGTTCTGCACATTTGCTTTTGGCATTATGACCCACTTCCAGCCTGATTCCTGGCACCCAGAGACCTGGGGTTCCATTCAAGCTGGCCTGTTGGGGCCAATTTGACAGCAAGAGCTTCTTCTTTCAGCACTCTGTCTTCTCTCGCTCTGTTTTTGCTGCTTTTGCTTTCGCAACCTGCTAGAAGCCTGGGATACTGCCTTCAGGTCTGGCAAGTCACAGGAGCTGAGAAGGACAAGGAAAGAGCTGGTTGCTGGTATTAAGAGGGTCAAAGCCACATATTCACAGAGGATCCAGGGTCAATTCACCTCATAAGACCCACGAAGCATGTGGAGGGGCATTAAATGTATAACCGACTATAAAGACAGAGGTGCACAATGCCCTAGAGCAGGGGTGTCAAATTCCAGGCCTCGAGGGCTGGAGTCCTGCAACTTTTAGATGAGTCTCTCTGATGCCACACAGCTGAATCATATGACTGAATTAGCTTCTCAGTGCAGTCAAGTTCTCCAAAGTCCTGGTAATGACCTCCTTATTTGATTCAGCTGTGTGGCATCAGATACACATCTAAAAGTTGCAGGACCCTGGCCCTCAAGGCCTGGAGTTTGACACTGCTGCCCTAGAAACTCGTTACTGCCTGATCTGATGCCCTCAACAAGTTCTATGCATGCTTTGAAGACCCGAACAGATCACCCTGCACCAAGCTCACCTCACCACCGGAAGAGGAGTTTCTCAGCGTGACCTCAGCTGAAGTAAGGAGTACTTTCAGGAGGATTAATCCTCACAAAGTAACTGGCCCAGACAGCATCCCAGGGAAGGTGCTGAAAGACCTCAGCTCTGTGAGGTGCTGGCCGATATCTTTTAACTCCTCACTCACCCTGGCAACAGTTCCACCTGCCTGAAAACCACCACCATCATCCCAGTCCCAAAGAGCTCTACAGTGACTGGTCTGAATGACTATCGGCCAGTAGCCCTGACCCCAATAGTCGCTAAATGCTTAGAAAGATAAATGGTAAATGGACTGTACTTATATAGAGCCTTTCTATCTTATTTCAAGACACTCAAAGCGCTTTACACTACAATCTGTGTCCTCATTTACCCATTCATACAGCACTCTACTAGATCTATACAAAGCTAATTGAACAAATCATTCTGAAGAGACTAATCAGTGCTTTAGATCACATTCATACATTGATGGGACACACATCAGAGGCTATGAGGGGTTCAATGTCTTGCCCAGGGACACTTCGACATGTGACTGCTGGTGGATTCGAACCCCCAACTCTCGCACTGGAGGACGACTGCTCTAACCACCCAGTCACAGCCGCCCTGCCAGGGGTCATGACCCACATCAAAACAACAATAAACATCAGTGAGGACCCTCACTAGTACGCATACCGCGAGAATCGATCAACACAGAAGACGCCATCTCCTCTGTAGTCCACACTGCTCTCACCCACCTGGAACAGAAGGACTCCTATGTCCGTATGTTCTTTGTGGACTTCATGTCTGCCTTCAACACCATGATCCTCCAGACTCTGATGGACAAACTACTCACACTAGGACTAAGCCCTTTCATTTGCAACTGGGTCCTGGACTTCTTAACAAACAGACCACAGTGAGGATCCACAACTTCTCCTCCTCCTCAGCACTGGCTACCCCCAGGATTGTGTGCAGAGCCCCCTCCTGTTCACTCTGCTCACGTATGACTGCACACCGACCCATCCAGGCTGTCATATTGTAAAGTTTGTAGATGATACAGTGGTTATGGTATGCATCACAAACAATGATGAGTCCAGCTACAGGCAGGAGGTGGTACACCTGGACGGCTGCTGGTGCCGGAAGAACAACCTTCACATCAATGTGAAGAAGACAAAGGAGATGGTCGTGAACTTAAGATGGAACAAACACACCTAACACCCACCCCCCGAACATAGGAAGATCTGTGGTGGAAGTGGTCTCCAGCTACAAGTACTTGGGTGTACACCTGAACGACAACCGCAACTGGAGCAACACCACCACCAGCCTGATCAAGAAAGCTCATCAGAGACTCTACTTCCTCAGACGGCTGAGAGGAGCTGGACTGGGAAGCTCAGTCCTCACCTCCTTCTACAGGTGTGCAGTGGAGAGCATCCTGTGCTCCAGCATCAACGTGTGGCATGGAGGCTGCACAGCTGCAGAAAGAAAAGCTTTGCAGAGAGTGGTGAAGGCTGCACAGAAGTCTGTCAGAGCCAGCCTCCCCACCATCACAGACTCTACACCTCCAGATGCAGGAAGAGAGTCGCCTGCATCATGAAGGACCCCACTCACCCAGCACACACACACTTTTCGCCCCGCTCCCTTTGGGCAGGAGGTTGAGGAGCATTAAGTGTAGAACCACTAGACTGAGGAACAGCTTCTACCCTGAGGCTGTTTAGACTCATGAATCTCTAACCAGGATAATCACTGTGAAAAATCACATCATGCTGCTGATCTGTTTCATGTTGCTGCTGATCTGTTTTATGTTGCTGTGTTCATGTGTGCTCATCTGCTCACACAGACTCGTGTTCGTGCTGTTGTTTGTTGTATTGTTTTTATGCTATTGGTGCTTAGCGTATTTTTAGTTGACATTTTTCTTAGTTCATATCTTAGATCTTATTACTGCTTTTCATTTAAATTTTATTGTTGGATGTAACTGGGACCCTGTGTACACAATTTCATTCACACCACATGTACCACATGTGGTGTGAATGACAAATAAAGAAACTCTGACTCTGATATAAGTGTAATAAATAATTAGTAAAAGGTAATAAATGAAGAATGTGTTTGTACTCTGCATGTCTACAGGTCCTCCCATAGCAATGGAAAAGTAAAATAAACTTTGCTGCAAAGCAGATGATTGACTTTTTCGTTTGCTGAATCAAACGAAATTTATTGAAAATGAATCTGTCTCACTGCACAACTACGGTACTTCACAATGACGGGTCTGTTACTGCATAGTAAATTAACTTTACTGTCAAATCCTGAACTTCTTCCTGTGTTGTGCCTATTTGGTTCTGAAGTGCTTTTTTAAGATTTTCATGTTGCATGTTTTATTTTTGGTTGCACTGAACGTTATTTGTTAGCTACCTGGTTCAAAATAAAATTGTTGGTCTCATTTAACTTATAAATTTCATTTTCCGTATGAAAAATAGGACATATTTGATCATTACACAGTTGCATTTTATGCTTTGTGTTTGTATTTAACATGTATACAAAGAGCAGATGTTATAATACTCAGATATAATATTGTGTGAAAGGACTTCAAATAATGAGATGTTTGTTTTATCATCCAGTCCTACTCTGAAGGGCTCAGAAACGTTAGTCGATGTTTTTGATGGATTTTTCTTACACGCTGAACTGTGTTAAATACAGATAAAGCCACCAGTCAGCTGCTTCTGGAGACTGACTGGGAATCTATTCTTCAAATCTGTGATCTCATCCGACAAGGAGACGCACAGTAAGTTGTTCAGCTGGAAAGCCTTAAAATTCAGCTAAATGTATTAATTTATTCTAAATAAAACGGACAAACCACTCTCTTTGAGCTATTTGTACCACTTTGTTTCCAAATTTACCTTTTTTATTTTTTCCTTTTAGAGCCAAACATGCTATTGGAGCCATTAAGAGGAAGCTGAATGACAAAAACCCCCATGTGGCTCTTTATGCACTTGAGGTAAGACATGTTTACAGGGGAAATTTATATCTTAATTTTTGAATAACTCATAATAGAAAGTAATACTGCAAACTGTGCAACTCTTACCATGTTCTTATGTTGTGTATATAATGTTAGCTCATTGTCTTACTTTTTTGTATGTTAGTATGTTTTTGTAAATTAATTTGATTCTGAAGCTAAAAAAAAAGAATCACTCAAAGTAAATTTGTGAACAAGTTTCCAGATATTTGTGGTTGGCTGTTAGTACCCAGGCAGCCTGAATAGGTGTACTATATGTGGATAGTACCCAGGCAGCCTGAATAGGTGTACTATATGTGGATAGTACCCAGGCAGCCTGAATAGGTGTACTATATGTGG